GCTGCGGAAAGCGCGGTGGCGGCGGCTCCCGAAAGCCCGATGGAGGCTGCTGCGGAAAGCACGGTGGCGGCGGCTTCTACAAGCCGGATGGAGGCGGCTGCGGAAAGCTCGGTGGCGGTGGCTCCAGAAAGCCCTTTCCAGACGGCTCCGGAAAACGCGGGGGCGGCGGCCCGAGAGGGCTCTGTGGCGGCCGCTAGAGAAAACCGGGGGGCGGCGGCCAGGGCGGGCCCAGTGCCCAGAGAAAGCCCGGCGGCAGCGGCCAGGGATCCCCGGGTGGCAGAGGTCGCCCGATTGTTCGGGGAACCGGTGGATGAAGAGGTTCCCGAGGCCAGGCCCAGGTCCAGGCACGGGAACGCCGGAAGCCTGGCTGCGTTGCCGTATCTTCGCCTCCGTCACCCACTTAGCATTTTAGGAATTAATTACCACCAGTTTCTCCGTCACTATCTGGAAAATTACCCGATTGCTCCCGGCAGAATTCAGGAGCTTGAAGAACGCCGCAGGCGATTTGTGGAAGCCTGCAGAGCAAGGGAAGCAGCCTTTGATGCCGAATATCATCGTAATCCTCAGAGGATAGATTTTGATATTTTAACATTCACTATAGCTCTGACTGCCTCGGAAGTTATCAATCCTCTGATAGAAGAACTTGGTTGTGATAAGTTTATCAATAGAGATTAATTGATGAGACTACGAGAGAATCTCTGCATTCAAGACAGTCTAGCCAATCCTGTAACTTGATATTAAGTCAGAGTATGGTGGGAATAAGGCAATGCACAGTTGGAGTTAAAAAAAAAAAAAAAAGGCTTATCACCAAGCATCACAAAATAGAAAACATGTCAAAAGCATTATAAGACTCCTGTAATGTTCTTTGAGTTTGTAATTGATCCACATTGTTTTTCCTGCATTTGGAAAATGTGTCCAACATTGCTTTATTAAAGAGTAAACAATGGTTTTATAAAATTGAGACTTGAGGAAGAAAATAAGACGGCCCATGATAATGAAAGAAATTATCCAACAGCCGTGAAAAGAATAAAGAATTACACCTGAGACTGGAAGGCTATGGCAAGAACTTGAAATTGTCATCATATGTGCTCTCTTCATGTCAGATTCAACAGAAGTTTTCAGTGTTTGCTTTTGTGTTTTCTGAGGCAATTCAAGTGGCAAGCAAAGTAAATGTATATATCACATGATAAATTATGTTTTCATGAATATCAAATTTCTGGGGGTTTTTCTTTCAATTAATTTAAGTATTTTTGGTAAATAATCTATTAACAAGCCAAAATGCATAAAATACACAGTGAAAAGTCTTCCATTCTTGTCTTCCTTTGTCGAGTACCCACCACCACAATTCCCCTTCTGCCATTGAAGTTTCCTTTGTTACACACAAGCAGATATACTTCTGGGTCTGTTTCATTTCTTCACAGAAGTTGATATATTTACTGGTTGGTACATTGCATACTCATTAAGACTGTACCTTAAAGAGCCTTCCAAACAATTATGTTTCTTCATTCTTTTTTAGAGCTGCATTTTATTCCATTTGTGATTATGCTGTAATTTGCTTAACTATTGATGGACATTTAGGTGGTTTTCCCTATTTTTCTTTTGGCAAGAATAATTGCAAAGAGTAATCCATCTTGTATGTATATCATGTGGCATGTGCACAAATACAGTGTTGCCTTGGTTCTAAATGCACTTTTCATATTCTCTGAACTTATGTTGTATCTTACAGTTGATGGTGTGATACTGCATTTTTTTTCCTTAGGTTTTTATAAAACTAATGATGTGTCTTAGCTTCTTAGAGTTTTTTGTTATATATGTTATCTGTAGGGTGAATTCCCAGGAATGAGAATTCTGGGCTAAAGGTAGTCATTTGAAATTTTATAGATAGTGCTATGTTAGTTTCTGTATATGTACTGTTTGATACTACCACCAGCATTTGATGAACATGGATGTTTCCTTAAAGCCTAGCCAATACAGTAAACCCTCATGTATCAGGATTTTCCCCGTCCCATAGTTGAAAAAAAATGGTTTATCAGTTTGAATTTGCCTTTATCGTACTGTGAGTGGAGATAAGTATCTTTTCATTTAAAGAGTCAGATCTATCCCCTTTTCCATGAACTGTTCATAGCCTTTATCCATTTCTCTCCCAAATAACTGTCCTTTCTTTATTGACTCTAGTAGCTATTTTTGTGTTAGTGAGATGAGGAATGATAATAGCTTGTGATGTGAGTTACAAATAATTTTTTAACCAGTCTGTTGCTTTTCTTTCTTTCTTTCTTTCTTTCTTTCTTTCTTTCTTTCTTTTTTTTTTAATACTTTTGAGACAAGGCCTTGCTCTGTCATGTCAGATAGAGTGCAGTAGGATCATTACAGCTCACTGCAACCTCACACTCCTGTGTTCAAGCCATCTTCCTGCCTCAGCCTCCCAAGTAGCTGGGACTGCAGGTGCCAACCACAATGCCTGGCTAATTTTTCTATTTTTAGTAGAGATGGGGTCTCTTGCTCAGGCTTGTTTCAAACTTCTGAGCTGAAGCAGCCCTGTCTAGGCTTCCTGGAGTGCTAGGATTACAGGCATGAGCCACTGAGCGTGAGCCCCACTTTCTTTTTTAATCCTGTGACATTATGTCTTTGGCTTGCTTTCTTTTCTTTTTCTTTTTCTTTTTTTCTTTTTTCTTTTTTTTTTTTTTTTTTGAGACAGAGTCACTTTGTCACCCTGGGTTGTTGTGGGTGGCGCCCATAGCTTGGCAGGTCGGCAGGTAGGTCGCTGGCCACATAAACCAAGGCTGGCGGGTTCAAATCCTGGGGGCCAGCTAAACAATGACAGCTGCAACGAAAAATAGGTGGGTGTTGTGGGGGGCGCCTATACACCCAGCTACTTGGAAAACTGAGGGAAGAGGATTACTTAAGCCCAAGAGTTTGAGGTTGCTGTGAGCTGTTATGCCACAACACTCTACGTAAGACAACAGCTTGAGACTCTGTCTCAAAAAAAAAAAAAAAACAAAACTGGTTGTTGAGTTTTGTCAAAGGTCTTTTCAGAATTTATAAAGGTAATCTTAGGGTTATTTTATATCCACTACCATGAATTACATTTAGACTTACTAGTTATGCATTATCTTTG